TGTTCACTTCTCGCGGCTATACTATGCATGGCCACGGGCTCGGCCTTTTTCGCAGGCTAGCCGAGGCCCTGCTCCATAAAAAGGTCGTTTGGTTTAGTGGCTTTTCTTTTCCCCAAATGTATCATGATGTCGACGACGGCGATGGCGATGGCAATGGTGCTGATGGCGGCGACGATGCCGACGATGGCGACGATGACGACACTGGCGAGGGCGATGCGGGAATGCGCGCGCATGCAGAACTGATGAGGGCGACGACATCGACGATGGAGATGATGACGCGACGGCGGCAATGATGATGATGGCAATGGCGACGACGACGATGGCGATTGCGACGATGATGGCGGCGATGGCAATGGCGATGACGACGGGGAACGCAAGGTGCCAAACGTACGCATAGTGCATGACATCCAATTGTCTGTTTCTGTTACTTTTACTTTTGGGCTTCCCCTTTAGCAGCGCGATCCAGCATTTTGCCGCGCTGCCTCCATTCCCCTACCTTTCTCTGCCCTTTCTCCCGCGAGCGCCAGCTTCAGCGCGGTTGCGCGGCTTCTTTTTTTGTTCGGAGGGGATACACCTTATCCCATTCCTGACCAGGCTTGCGATATTTTTCCTGGGAGGCTTCGTTGCTGTTCCACTGTCCGTGGCGTTCGCCGGTTGGGCGGGCCTCGCCGCGCCGGCGGGCTTGACCTCGGGGGCCGCGCCCTCTTCCGACCCAGCGGCGGGAACGGCGAGGGGCCCCGCCCCGGGGGGTCATTTCCCCGAGGATCCCGGCTGGGGCCCAGGGGGGGGGATATCCCGCGCCAACGCACCCCTTGGGGGACGACGATGACGGAGGCGCCCGACAGGCGGGCGAGGAGGAAGGCGCCCCGCGCCGGGGGTCGTCCGTTCCCGCGCCGCGAGATGGCAAGAGAGAGCGCGGTGAAGGGACCGCCATAGCCAAGGAGAGGAGGGGCACCCCACGGGCGCAAGACATTCTCGAACGGGCCCTGGCGAGCGCGCCGGGCCCGGAAGGGGGGGGAGCTCGAACCCTCCTGGCGCGCGGGGCAAACCCCGAGCTGGGGCCCTCCCCCCTCCGGCCCAGCCCTGCGCCGACGAAGAGAAGGGGGGCGCTGGGCGCTGCCGACACGGGCGGGGAGGGGGCCCGCGACGAGCCCCCACGAGACCCGAGAGGCGGCCAGGGGGAGGGGCGGGCGTCGGGGTTCGACCCAAAGCGCCCATTCACTAGCTGCCCGGGCCGAAAAATTCCCGCAGCGGACCGCTGGGGTGGGAGGGGTGGCCCCCGCGGGGAGAGGCCCCCTCCCTGGCTCCCTCGGGCGCCCAAGTCGAATGACGCCTGGGGGGCTGGTTGGAAGAACGAACCATATGGGCACAATTCGCCGTCGGTCTGGCCTCGCCCCGCGGCGGGGTACCCCGGGCCGAGGCGGGGCCCCGCCCGGAGGGGAATGCCTAGTGTGGGGGGGCTCGCAGTGCCCAGAGGCGGCGGGGGGCCAGTCTCGAGATGCGGGAAACTTCGCAGGCGGGCTGGGGCTGTTGGGCGCTCTTCAACGCCCTGACCCTGCTGGACTGGCTAGTATACCTGGCCCCTGGATCTTCCTGGGCGTCGGCCACGGACTTCGCGGACCAGTTATTTGCCCCCGCGGCGCTCGTCCTGCCCGTCGCCCTGGGGGGGGGTGCTTCATCGACACGAGTGCATCCTGCGCCCGCTCTGCTACTTCCGCGGGCGGGCGCGGAGAAATTCGCACCTCCGCGCATGAGTCACAGTGGTGGAAGAAGATCGGTTATTCTTGATGGAGCTGGAGTGGCGGGGGCCAAGCGGGCGGCCCGCCGACGACGACTTCTACCGGGATGTGATCCGGGCCCTGGATGGGCCAACCCCCCGCGCGCCCAACCGCCAACGTGGTGGCCGAGAGATCGAAGGGGAACGGCCGCGGCTGGGCCAGGGGGCCCACGGGGCCCCCATCCAGCAAGCGAAGCGCCACGGTCAGACTTCCCCTGCTCGAGCGCTCGGCCAGCCCCCCAAACGCTCGGCCAGACCTGGTCAGCGAGGGCGAGGACTGGCCCCACTAGGGGCAGTTCCCGGGCCCATCCCCGGCGCGCGCTCCCCAGCCAGGGGCGGGGGCCCGAGTCCCTGGGGGGGCACCCGCGACCCACTGGATCGCTGTGAGCGGGGACAGCAGCCAGGGGTTTGAACCCAGGGGTGGACTGCTCGGGGCAGTAACCCAGGCGCCCGCCCCCCCCCCACTGCTGGGCGGTGGACGGGTGTACCGGAGTTTGCGAAAAGGGGCGCTCGCCCGCTGTCTGCATCGAGGGTAGCGACGCGGGGGGGGGACTGGGGGCGGGTTGACCGGGCGCGAGCGGGCGGTTGGCTCCATGGGACTTATCTTGGATGTCCGCCAATGGAACATGGTCTTCCTTCCCCCCCTCTTGTAGAATGCCAGGTGTCTCTGCCACATTTATTTTTGTTAGTGGGGATCCCCCTTTCACGGCGCGATCCCGCCCTTTGCCGCGCGCCCTCCTTTCTCTTTCCTTTTCTCCCGCAGCCGTTGGCTTCAGCGCGGCTGCGCTGCCTCTTTCTCCACCCGCTCGCCCCGCAGCGCACGGGGGCCCCGCCCCAAAGCGGCGGGGGCCCCATGGGACTTGTCCTGGATGCCCGCCAGTGGAGAATGGCTTACCTTCCCTTTCCCTCCTGCAGTGCGCCGAGCGTCCCCGCCGGATTTTTCCACGGCAACTAATCGGCGCAGTGCATCGTCCGCGGGGCCGCGCGCGATGGCAAACCAGGGCGCTGATTGACCTGGTCGGCCGGCAAGGGCCCGTGCGAGGGGGGAGCCGCCAGCTAGAGTATGACATTGCCCCGTATTCCAGCATGGAGTTCGACAGAGTCATTGAAGGGCCGCGTGATGGCATTACTCGATTAGACGTTCCACATTTTCGGGTCGGGATGCGCACTCGAAGAAAGGCGCCTGCGGGAGCGTTCGACAGGGTAATCACACCAGGCAGATTCGAGAAAACAGTAGAGCAAGACTGTCAAAATGTAATGAGGGCCAAGGCCGGTCGTCGGCAATCGCTATTTCCTCGGCCACTTGACGCAAATGTTCGCGGCAGGTCGTGCCGAATGGATCCAGGAGTGCCAGACAAAACTAGGAGTTACAATGATGAAGTGATTGTTGTGAAATGTAGTACAGTGGTCAACCGATGCATCTGGTAAAATATAGTATGCGCAGGCAACGTGGCGATAGCGGCAGCGATGGTAACACCTACCATCCACGTGTGATCCGATAGGATCAGACTGGGCGGTCCCTTCGGTTGCCTCCCAGGGTGGTCCAGAGGCACATGTTTCTGGGGATGCGGTCAGGTCGCTGGGGTTTCGGGGCCGAGGGCTTCATAATTCAGGCTGGGGCACGCATCGCCGCTATAACATCCTCTTCCTTCTCGTGTTTGTCCTCCTTCTCTTTTCCCTCCTCGTCGTCCCCCCCTTTTTCTCATCAGCATCACCGTCCTCATCGTCATCATAATAATTATTATATTCATATGCGTACTCATCATCATCATCATCATCATCATCATCATCATCATCATCATCATCATCATCATCATCATCATCATCATCATCATCATCATCATATCATCACCATCACCATCACCATCACCATCACCATCACCATCATCATCATCACCGTCATCACCAGAATCATCCTCGCCGTCGCCACGGTCGTCGTCGTGGGACCGTTGTCATGTTTAGCTCTGGGCACGACGTCGTCGCGAGCCCCACATGGCCGCGCACGCGGAATAGGCGGCGGCACGGGCTGGCTTTGAAGGCATTTTCACGCGGCTTCGCGCAAGCGGTTTGGTGAGTGGTTCTTCGTCGTGCTCCAGGTGGGGCTCATCGCGGTCGCCGTGCTTCTCTTTCTCGAAGAAGAGGAAAAATTGTACAAACATATAATTGTCAGATGTCCGCGCGGATTTCATGGATCCACATTGGGCCCCCCTGGTGGCGCCTTTGGCGCCGCCCCTGGCGCGCTCCACGCGCCAGGGAGAGGTCTCCAACGCGGATCCAAGAAATCCGCGCGAACTTTCAAATGTTCATGTTGTTTTTTTGTTTGTTAAGTTCCTCCTTCTGAGGCCTTGCGCCCGGTCTCATCACCGCTTTCTTGGGATCTTCTTGACTGCGGTGGATTGGGGAAGCCACGAGTGGTATGTCGTGGGGCTCATTGCAGTGCTTGCTGTTCTCACTAGTGCGGGCGAGACGCCCGTTGCCCACTACAGATCCCATGTGAAGTGGTTTGCATGTGAATGGCCATCCCAGAGGTTTTGGATCAATGACTTGTGCGAGTCGGGTTTGGGGGCTTGCTGACAGTTGAGTTCTCTCGCTGACCTCGAGCGTGGTCGCACAGTGTTTGTGGCTATATTGTGTCCCACGCCCCATACTTCCAGAGTCCTCCTCAGCATCATCACCAGCACCATCCAGCATCATCTTGAGTGGCTCGCGGGTGTGTGCATGCAGCGGGCGTCTCCCGACTTTTGAAAAGCAAGCGTTGCTTGCAATGCCCGTGCAGTTAAGTGCCCCGATTGTTGCACAGAACTTGGGAGCAGACGCTCCGCCCCATGCAGCACGGAATGGTGTAAGGGCAACCCTGGCATCCTCGAGCGAGCGTGCAGTGGTTTCTGACCTTGCCAGCGTTTGGTCCAATTTCGCTTTGCTCGAAAGAAAAATCGGCATACATAATTTGTCGGCGCTCCGCGCGGAGCTCCGAAAGTTTATGTTTATGCAGTTGCTTCGTCTTCCGTCGGGCACACGCTGACCTGGATCAGGGATCTGCGGATCTGGCGGGTGGGCGCTGGCTCCACGGATCGATGCAAAGTACCCCCCGAGACATGCAGCCAGTGCCGCTTGATTTGGCGACAGCGATCGTCGATTCCGTGCGGAAACGGGACTCGTCGCTAACCCGTGCATCGCTAAACCATGTTGACGCTTCTTTGATTCTATCTGCGCCGCCCGGCAGGAGCTGCACGACCTCTTCGACCGGGAGCAGGACGACTTGTACAGGCCGCGGCCGCGGCCGGCGGCACCCCATTCGTCCATGCGTTTGCTTCTCTCGCGCGCCTTGGCCGCCAATCTAGCCGACAGGGCTCATTTCGATTCCTCCGATTCGATTCGATTTCGATGGCTTCCGATTCCGATTCGATTCGACCTCTGATTCCATCAGGGCTTACGATTTTTCAACGGAGGCTTAGCCTGCCCGTTTTTCGCCGATTCGACTCCTCCCGATTTGGCTGCCGTTTTCCGCCGATCCGATTCATTTCGATCACCGATCCGACTTACCGATTCGATTCCGGGCTCTCTTGGATTTGGATCGAACATCGAAAAACAATACATTGCATGAGGACGTTTTTGTTCAGAGGCTTGCGCGGACGTTTTTGGGTGGGCGTTGGACCGGAAGTGCCGCCAGGGAGTCCAGCGCCGACCCAAGAATTGAGCGCGGATTTCCGACAGTTGATGTTGTCGCCACGGGCTCACCTAGACTGGTTCGGTAGCAAATCATGGGAGCCTTGCATACCCTTGCAACTCCGTCTTTCGGGTGCACTAGCGTCGATTACGATTAGCGTCTGGTAATCGGTGAGTTAGCGCCCATCCAGCATCGATTTAGCGTCGATAGGCATCGATTTAACGTCGGTTAGCCTCGATACGCAAGAGCCAACAAGAAGATGGTATGGGAGGCTCCCATGAGTTGCCACCGAACTGGTGGGGCAGAGAGCATTCTTTCTCGGAGGCGTGCACGTGGACAGGGAGGGGCAGCGGCGACGGCGATGAGCGACAGACTCGCAGCACCCCGCCTTATACTCCTCGGTCCTCGTTCGAAGGCCTGGGCGAAGCAAAGGCGAAGGACAAAGAGGAGGAGGAGGAGGAGGAGGAAGAGGTTCAAGGAGAAAAAACTGCATAAGCATAAACTGTCGGGGCTCCGCCGCGCGAATTTCTTGGATTGGCGCTGGGCCTCCCCTGGCGGCACCTCTGGCGACGCAGGTGGGCTTCCAGCGCCGATCCAAGAAACCCGTGCGGAGCTCTAAAAATTTATGTTTATGCCGTTTGATTGTTCCCCCATGGTGACTTTGGCTCGACGTCGACGCTAGCTCGACGCGGGCGTCGACTTCTCGGCGGAGAAGGAGGAGGACAAAGAGGAGGAGGAGGAGGAGGAGGAGGAGGAGGAGGAGGAGGAGGAGGGCGACGGGCAGCGGCACGTCGCCACGGATTTCTTGCAGTGGCGGAGGGGGGCGGGAGAGGTCAAGGGAATGGGAAAGGGGGGCCGAGATGAGGGAAGGGGGGTCTCTGCTTTTCTGTCCGGTCGGATGTTTGTGCAGTTTTTTTGTTCCCCTCCTGGTGGCTCACGCCTGCTCGACGTCGACGCCAGCTCGACGCGAGCGTCGACCGACTCCACGGCGGCAAGCGGGGTCGCCTGCTCGACGCAATTGGGACGCCACCGCCGAGGCGCAGATCCGGGAGGGCACCAGTGTCTGGCCATCTCGGAGCCCTCCTGCAGGGCTCATTCCGACTCCGATTCGATTTCGATGGATTCCGATTCCGATTTCATTCGACTTCGGATTCCGATTCGGATGCCGATTTCTCAACGGAGGGCTTACTAGCCTGCCGATTTCCGCCGATTGGGCTTCTCCCAACTTGGCTGCCGATATCCGCCGCTCCGATTCATTTCGATCGCCGATCCTACTTATCGATTCGATTCTGGGCTCTCCTGGTGTCGGGCCACCTCGGAGCCACTCTGGACCGTGCCAGAAGTCTCTTGGGATCCTCTGGGTCCGTCTTGGCGCTCTGGGACATTCATGCGACAAGCCTCAGGTCTTGGGCTCGGGGCCCCTTCAAGAGCGCTTACAGTACCCAACACAGAGGGCTAAGGGACCTGAGGACACTCCACTTTGTGTTTGGAGGCACGGTGACGCATCTTGTGTTGCGATATGGTGGCATGTTCGATTACACGGTCTCTTCGGGGCGGAGGTTGGACAAGAAATTAGCCCTTTTGTTCATCTACGCATGTGGAGGGTGGGGGTGGGAGGGATTATCCTCCTTACTCGGCATCGCCTGAGGGATTGTAATTTTGTTGTGTCGGAAAGGAGCAATTGCGATTGTGTTTCGAGGCTGATTGCCATGGGGGGGTCCTGGGCGCCATGAAGCATAGCACAACATGTCATCACATTGCATTGCGTAGCATTGCACTTCATCATAGCATGGCACTGTAATATAGCGAAGCATAGCACCTCAGAACATTTCAATGTGTTGCGTAGCACAGCCTGGCATGAAATCGCATGCATCACCACTGTATGTTGCGAAGGCCTTAGGGCCAGTGCCGCCGACCCTGAAGGCGGGACCTTCTCCAGGACCCCTGCTGGCGACCCCCCTCGGGGACCCGCCGGGACCCCAAGGGGGCGGCATTCGAGTTTAGGACCCACACACACACCCGCACCCTGGCAGTGAAGGGATAAAGGGAATGAGTTTCCCTTCGACTGAACTACGACGTTCGTTTTCCTTTTTCCTCAATTTTTTCCTCGACTGGCGAGGACGACGGCGGCGGCGACGACGACTGCCTCCCGAAGGGTCGGCGGATTTTTGAACATAGCATATCATGGAACCGCAGAACACGGTGACATGTGCCCGCCCTCTTCCAGAAGGAAGGATGTTCTCTTGGGGCTAACGTGTAACTGTTCCCTTCCTGCGGGCCAATCAGTGTGACAGGTTTCGCCCCCAGCGACGGCTGTAACATGTGATAGATGGTAACCTCAAGGGAAGTTGTGACATGTGAGATCATGCTTACTCTGGGATCAGAAGGCTTCAACATGAGACCGTCTTCTTCCATAGGGAATTGCAACATGCTACGGATCTCTTCCCCAGGGAAGGTAGTCACATGTTATAGTTTCCGTCCCTGGGGAAGGCCATAATATACGACAGTTCTTTCTTCTTGAGGCCAGAAGGCGAAAATATGCGACGGCTTTCTCTTCCAATGACCCTCCAGGAAGGCCGTAATATTGCGAAGGCCTGACGGCCGGTGCCGCCGACCCTGTTCGCAATGCGCAGCAAGAGGTTTGGGGGAACGGGGAGAAGGACGAGAAGGTGGGGGAGGGAGGTGTCGTATCTGACCCGGGACTTCCCCGGGACTCCCCCGGGACCCCCCCCGGGACCTCCTCTCCCCCCCCCGTCGGGGAAGGGAAAGGGAAGGGGCTTCCCTTCGACTCAATGACGACGTTGCTCAAGGTCGGTACGGGGGGGGGGCGTCGTATCTGACTCGGGGGGGGGGTCGCTACCCCCCCCGCTACCCCCCCCCCCTCCCGGCGGGGGAGGAATGAAAGGGAAGGGGCTTCCCTTCGACTCAATTACGAGGTTGCTCAAGGTCGGCTTGGCTGGAGCCCAGGGGAAGAGGAGTCCCAGGGGGGGGCGTCGTATCTGACCCGGGGGGGGGGTCGCTACCCCCCCCCCCTCCCGGCGGGGGAGGGATCAAAGGGAAGGGGCTTCCCTTCGACTCAATTACGAGGTTGCTCAAGGTCGGCTTGGCTGGAGCCCAGGGGAAGAGGAGTCCCAGGGGGGGGCGTCGTATCTGACCCGGGGGGGGGGGTCGCTACCCCCCCCCCCTCCCGGCGGGGGAGGGATCAAAGGGAAGGGGCTTCCCTTCGACTCAATTACGAGGTTGCTCAAGGTCGGCTTGGCTGGAGCCCAGGGGAAGAGGAGTCCCAGGGGGGGGCGTCGTATCTGACCCGGGGGGGGGGTCGCTAGGTCGGCTTGGCTGGAGCCCAGGGGAAGAGGAGAGCCCAGGGGGGGGTCGTCGAGGATCTGGGGCGCCCGGGGGGGGGTCCCCGGGGGGGGGGTCGCTACCCCCCCCCCCTCCCGGCGGGGGAGGGATCAAAGGGAAGGGGCTTCCCTTCGACTCAATTACGAGGTTGCTCAAGGTCGGCTTGGCTGGAGCCCAGGGGAAGAGGAGTCCCAGGGGGGGGCGTCGTATCTGACCCGGGGGGGGGGTCGCTACCCCCCCCCCCTCCCGGCGGGGGAGGGATCAAAGGGAAGGGGCTTCCCTTCGACTCAATTACGAGGTTGCTCAAGGTCGGCTTGGCTGGAGCCCCCAGGGGAAGAGGAGTCCCAGGGGGGGGCGTCGTATCTGACCCGGGGGGGGGGTCGCTACCCCCCCCCCCTCCGGCGGGGGAGGGATCAAAGGGAAGGGGCTTCCCTTCGACTCAATACGAGGTTGCTCAAGGTCGGCTTGGCTGGAGCCCAGGGGAAGAGGAGTCCCAGGGGGGGGCGTCGTATCTGACCCGGGGGGGGGGTCGCTACCCCCCCCCCCTCCCGGCGGGGGAGGGATCAAAGGGAAGGGGCTTCCCTTCGACTCAATTACGAGGTTGCTCAAGGTCGGCTTGGCTGGAGCCCAGGGGAAGAGGAGTCCCAGGGGGGGGCGTCGTATCTGACCCGGGGGGGGGGTCGCTACCCCCCCCCCCTCCCGGCGGGGGAGGGATCAAAGGGAAGGGGCTTCCCTTCGACTCAATTACGAGGTTGCTCAAGGTCGGCTTGGCTGGAGCCCAGGGGAAGAGGAGTCCCAGGGGGGGGCGTCGTATCTGACCCGGGGGGGGGGTCGCTACCCCCCCCCCCTCCCGGCGGGGGAGGGATCAAAGGGAAGGGGCTTCCCTTCGACTCAATTACGAGGTTGCTCAAGGTCGGCTTGGCTGGAGCCCAGGGGAAGAGGAGTCCCAGGGGGGGGGGCGTCGTATCTGACCCGGGGGGGGGGTCGACCCCCCCTCCCGGCGGGGGAGGGATCAAAGGGAAGGGGCTTCCCTTCGACTCAATTACGAGGTTGCTCAAGGTCGGCTTGGCTGGAGCCCAGGGGAAGAGGTCTCCCAGGGAAAGGGAAGGACAGAGACGACGAGTACAAAGAATGACGGAGAGGACGGCTCGAACGGAAAAGCCCCTCACACACGCCGACAGGGTCGGCGGATTTGAAAACGGTCTTCTCCTGGATCCAGACGGGGTAGCGTGTGAACGCCCCTTGCGCCCAGCAACACGTAGCATGTGAGAGCTCCTCTTCCCGTGGGCCCACAGAGGGTGGTAACATGTGACATGTGCCACCCCATAGGTGCGGAGTTTGGGAGCATTTTTATGGACATGGATCTCTCGCCCTGGGCACATAATGTTGAACCATGTGACAGCTGCTGCCTTGGGCCGAGAAAGCCAGAAAGCTTGGCAGCTCTCTTCAGCTGGCCCTGGAATGGGCCGTCGGGGGGTATCCTGAGTCCGTGGTGCTTGGTCATTCTATGCCTGCCCGGTAAGTGCGGGGTGCTTGGGATTGGGAGACAGCGTTCGCCTTACCCTCTTCGGTGGAGGAAGGCGTGAGCGGACCAGGAGAAGGAGTGGGGAGGATGGGAAGGGAGGAGGTGAGGGCGGGTAAGGCCCCTCTTCATTAGGTTGGGGGGTGCTAGTGGGGTGAGCGGGCTGCACCCTTGCAGACGACAGCCATGACCGCCACCGACAGGCACATCGAGCAGCTGCCTTTGAGCTCGTCGGTTCAGCGGATCAACGACCTGAGCAAGCGTGCTCGTCTGGTGAAGGTTGGGTTGGGTGTGATACGGGGGCATCATGCCGTCTCGTCTTGTGATACCGTCTCGTGGATGCAACCGCCCCTTGGCTAGGCCCACCTTGTCTGCAGTTGGGCTGAACATCTCACAGCATGTCCTCAGCAACCAAGACCTCTACCGATCAAGATATGGACATGGTAACCCCATCTAAGAGTGCATGGTGAACACTATTCTGCGCATGCCACTTTTTTACATTGAAGGGGCTTCCCCAACTTTGACGCTTAATTTCATGAGTTCTCCGTTCACCGCGTTCTCCCCGATCCTGCTCCCCTTCTGGTAGCAGCTCTGGTTTCAAAGGCGTTAGATGGGAGAGCTCCAGACATCCACTTTCGGCGGCGAGCCGGCGAGCCCGGGGGGGAAGTGAGAAGGTGCGGTCTTTCTCAGAAGGCTCGGAAGTCCCCAGCCTTCTGAGACATTTTCTAAGCCTTCCCCGAAGACACAGGAAACCTCTCAGAAGGCGCGAGGGCTTCTGAGAAGCCCCGCCGCCCGAGAGGGCCTTCGCCTTCTCACTTTCCCCCAGGCGCGCCGCCGAATCTGGTTTTTGGTTCACAATTCGGACCTCTGGCGGCCGTTCGGGACGATCCCGGCACCTTGGGAACGCTCTCGGCGAGGCGCCGCTGGAATGCATCCCGAGGGTGGACAATCAAACCGCCAGGACGAAACGTCAAGCTTGCTGAAGGATATCAGGCATAGGTCCCCTCTGGCCTGCGAGCCGTAGCCCTTGACCCAGATCGAATGGAAAACACATGAAAACACAGCTGCGACGGCCGCTCCTGGCCGACTTCGCGATGCCAGGGCGGCGGGCGCGTGCCAGGTCACGACGCAGTGCAAACGACAGGAGGAGGAGCAGGAGCAGGAGGAGGAGGAGGAGGAGGAGGAGGAGGAGGAGGAGGAGGAAGAGGAGGAATGATGATGAGGAGGAGGAGGAGGAGGAGGAATGATGAGCGGCCCCCAGCAGCAACCAGGGGAAGCAAATGACAGGCTCAGCAATTCCACTCTTGGGCATGCAACGGCGAAACCTGGACTCCCTTCGGGGTGTCCTGCATGCCTGCGCTCGGCTAGACGCAGGGAGTGGGCGAGAAGAGGGAGGGGGGCAACAACAGCAGCAAGCACCCAGAGAAGCAGGCAAGCGGTTGGGAACGGAGGCGGGGAGCGGGGGCGGTCGCCAGGGGCGGTCGTCGGGAGCGGTCGTCGGGGCGGACACGGGCGCGGCAGGCGTGGGCGCGCCGGGAGCAGCGTGGCTGCTGCTGGCGGCGGCGGGGGGTGCGGCAGGCGTGGGCGCGCCACGGGCAGCGCGGCAGCTGCTGGAGGGGGGGCCAAGACCGCCGCGAGGGCGGCGATGACCCTAGGAGGGGGGGGGGCTGCCGCGCTGTCGCTTGGGCATCAGGGACCCTTTCGGGTGATGCTGCCCGCCTGACCGGAGCCCGCCGACCCCGCCCACTGGGAGGGGATCCCGCTCGCCTTCAGGACGGGGGGGCGCAAGGAGGCGCTGGCGGCGACTCACACGGCGTCAGCGGCCGCCGCTGTGACCGCTGCAGCCGCCGCAGCACCGCCCGCGCGTTCTCCCGATGAAGGGTGACTGAATGTCGCCAGGCGCGCCAGTCCGCCACTAGGGCGGCGTCCTCCCCGGAGGCGTCAGCCACCCGGTTGGCCAAGATCGCAAAAACTCTCCTGGCGTCGCGCCCCCACCCGCCACCGTGGGCCTCCACCGCCATAGGTATGGAGGGGAGGCCCTGCACGGCGCACTGGCGCTCGGTGTGCAGGCGCTGCCGTTTGAACTCCTCGTAATGCTCCGCAGCCGCACGGGAGGACGCAGCTGTAGCGGCGAGGAGGTCGGCGCGAAGCCCGGAAGTGGCAGCGAAGTCCCAGGCCGCTGGCACCCCGTTGCGCCACCTAGGCAGGTCGACGTGAGCGGGGCGCCTGGCGCTGGCGCCCAGGTCCAGCCCGTCCTGCTCGCCGCTGGGAGACCCTTCGTTGGCCGCGCGCGGCGGGAGGAGGCCCACCCATTCCAGCTCCGCTCCCGCAAAGCCCTCCGCTTGCGCGTCGAAGAGCCCCTGAGTGGTTCTGGAGCGGGTCGTGGCGTTTCGTCTTGTCGCCGCGACAAGAGCAGGCAATGCCGCTACCTGGAAAAGGCCGCGGCGGGCGCCTGTGACAAGCTAAGGTGTGCGCCTACGTGGCGACCAAGGAGTGGGCCCGGAGGCTGGCGAGCGCCGCGTCGTCGACGGCGTCGCTGGGTCGCTGCTAGTTCCCGTGCTGCTCCGGATCGAACGCCACCCTTTCCCCGTTGGAAACATGGGCGTCGTGCGCTTGCACGGCGTTCGCGCGCGCCACCCCATCGCCTCCTGCCTCGTCAGCGTCGCTTAGGTAGAGCTGCTTACAAAGGCAGAGGCCCGTGCATACGGGCCCAGGGTGCCACGTAGGCGGCGGCCGCGTGCTGCTCGGCCGAGCGCAAGCCCAGGCCCCCCTTGCGCAGCTTGCCTTGCGCCTGCCGCCGCGACGCGTCGGTGGGCGAGCAGCCAAACGCCAAACCCCGTCGTCCATCGCCTGCAAAACCGCCGAGTGCGCGGAGGGCGGCACCACCTCGCGCGCTGTAGCCCAGCTTGCAGAATGAGGCGCGCTGGCGCAGGAGGTGCAAGGCGACCTGCGCGTCCTCCAGCGCCCCCAGCGCGTCCAGGCGCTCCTGTGCCGCAGAGACCCGCTGCTTCGTGTTCTGGCACCAGAAGGCGTCGTCTCCGACCAGCGCCCCGAGGAGCTCGCAACCCCGGTCCGTGCGGAAGCGGAACCCTCGCGGGAAGGCGAGGTCGATTGCGCTGTCGTTGCTGTCAGCAGGGGCCACCTCGCACTTCCCTGGCCCGGTGGCGAGCTGGAGCCCCAGCGCGGCGAGGGTGGCGACCAGCTCGTGGAGGAGGTGCGCCACCGCGAGGCAGTCTCCCGCAGAGGTCCCGGCGTCGAGGAAGGAAACCTTCAGGTCGACCTGGCCCCCTCGCCAGGGGGCGCGGGCAGGGCGGGGTCGGGGGCGGCGCGCAGGAGCTGTTCGGCGCATCGCTGGAGAGCGAGCGCAAGAAGCAAGCGTCCATGTGGGTCGCCCTGCTGGACTCCGCATTCCGAACGGATCCTGTGCTTGCCGACGCGGAGGAAACAAACGCGCGAGTAGGACCAGTCGGCCTAATGCACCAAATTGGGGAACTCGTGGAGAGCCTGGAGCGAAGGCTGCCGGTCCAGCGTGTTGAACGCTTTGGGGAGGTCGAACTTCACGAAGGCCTTTTCGCGGTGCCCGAAGTTGCGCGCCCACCACTGGCGGGCGGCGTGGACAGCGGCCTCGGCTCCTCCAGGCACCGCGACGCCGGCCTGGAGTGGCGCTAGGCGGTCGCGCGCCGCGTGAGCCACGTCGTGGCAGAGACGCTTCCCAACGGGGCGCCGAAACGTTTTGCCAGCGGCCACCGGCCGCAAACCGCCGCCTTTCTTGGGGAGGCCCCCCAGGGAGGCGCCAACGAAACACCCCAAGACGGAGGCGGGCGCGTGGCTGCAAGCGAGAGGGGCGACCAGACTGCGCAGGTGCCTTGTGACCTCGTCCCAGCCGGCCGCCGTGCCGAGGGCGTCCTTCATGCGCTGCGGCTGGAGGCTGGTGGGCCCAGCAGCAGAACCCTGACGGAAAACCCGGACCTTCGCCACCGTGGTTTCGTCGACCTGTGGGGCGGCCGCGGCGGGGACGCCAGGAGAGGCGGCCAGGTCCACAAACCGCCGGCTCTTTGGATGCTTATGGCGCATCTGTTCGGAGGCGGAAGAGTATATTAAGTTGCTCAATATGGATGGCTGGATTACACAACAACGGCGAAATACTTGAGCGAGTCGCAAACACACCGCCAGGAGAAACGACCTGGCAAGCTGCATCGTGGGATCCAAGCCGACATACGGAACTCAATGCCAGACGGCGCCCATACAGACCAAAACAGTGGTGGATCGACGACATTGTCAAGTTCATGACAGACCACCCAGAAGCGTTCAATCCGGAGGAGAGGGCATTTGTTCTGAGGCATGCGAAGCGCGTGATTCAATTTATGCGCTGATGAAGTGTGCAACCAGGGACGTGTGGAGCAGTCTTGAAGATTTGTTTGGCGCAGCATTTTTTAATTATTTAAAGCGATTCGGCCCCAACCCGCGGCACCTACAGGGTGCGCAATGCGGGTCGCAGTCGCAGTCGCAGTCGCAATTTGTTCGAGGACGTCGCGGGTCACGACTGTCGGAGGCTGGCCGACCAAACTGGAACAGTTTTGGAACATTGCGCGTCTGCAGCAAGCTCCAGACATCTCTTGGCCTTCTCGGTGGCGGCGGCACTCCCTTAGGCAGGGCGTCGCTCCGTGGTTTCGGCCCAGACGGGCGTTCGTTCCCTGGCAAGCCCAGCGCCTGTATAGAGTTCCTTCGCCTGTGCTTCCGCCGCGTTCCGACTGCCATGCCCGCCGCGGGTGTCGGGGCGCACCACGACATTGAGCAACATGGCCCGCTAAATCCACGTTGTCCCGGTGTTGCACTGCACCACGAGGGCCGTGGCCTGCGTCAGGCACCGCGCCCAGAGTTCCCGTGCGCCCTTCAGGGCGTATTTTTTTGTGCCGGCTTGGCTGGCGAACTCCTTTTCCAAAAAGGGCAGCCTGGGGCCCTGGCGGCGGGTGCGGCCCGCCTCTTAGGCGGGGGGGGAATCGGGCCCTGAGGGAAACGGGTCTTGATGTTTTTCGCCATTCTCGTGCCTTCGGAGCCCTCCAACGGCCCCGGAACTGTCAGAAAACGGCTCAGGATGGAGATGTCGTGTTGGGGGAAGGCGCCAGGGTCCAGGGCCGTTTCCCTCAGGACCCGTTTCCCCCATGCTGGAAGAGTTTGGTCCCAGCAGCTCGATCCAGCGAACCGACGCGGTCCGATTGGTCCTCAAGCGCTGCATGGGATCAGTGTTTTCTTCGGGTAGTTTGTTGTTCCATTAGACCATCTCCGCACAGCTGTGATTGAG